GGCGTTCGTCATGGCAGGGTTCCAGGTGAGACCCCAAAACCCCCCAAAATACCCCAAAACAGCCCCTCAGGGACCCCAAAATAACTCCTGGGGCGTTCGTCATGGCAGGGTTCCAGGTGAGACCCCAAAAACCCCCAAAATATCCCAAAATATCCCTCAGGGACCCCAAAATAACTCCTGGGCCGTTTGTCATGGTCGGGTTCCAGGTGAGACCCCAAAAACCCCCAAAAACACACCTGGGACCCCAAAACAGCCCCTCAGGGACCCCAAAGCACACCAAGGACCCCAAAAATACACCTGGGACCCCAAAATACACCTGGGACCTCAAAATATCCCCTGGAACCCCAGAAACACACCTGGAACCCCAAAAACACACCTGGAACCCCAAAATGTCCCCTCTGGGACCTCAAAACACACCTGGGACCCCAAAATAACTCCTGGGGCCCCAAAACCACACCTGGGACCCCAAAATATCCCTCAGGGATCCCAAAATGACCCCTCAGGGACCCCAAAATGACCCCTGGGGCGTTTGTCATGGCCGGGTCCCAGGTGAGACCCCAAAACCCCCCAAAAATATCCCCTGGGACCCCAAAACAGCCCCTCAGGGACCCCAAACCACACCTGGGACCCTAAAACATCCTCTGGGACCCCAAAAACACACCTGGGACCCCAAAACAGTCCCTGGGACCCCAAAACACACCTGGGACCCCAAAATATCCCCGGGACCCCTAAATACACCTGGGACCCCAAAATATTCACTTTGGGACCCCAAAACACACCTGAGACCCCAAAACAGTCCCTGGGACCCCAAAATACACCTGGGACCCCAAAATATCCCCTCAGGGCCTTTGGGTTTGTGGGGGTTTTTCTGGGGTGGGTTTTTGGGGTGTCGTATTTTTGGGGTCCCCCAGGGTTTTAGGGTGGGTTTGGGGTGGATTTTGGGGTTTCTCATTTCCGTACCCCCCCAGGTTTTTGGGGTGGGTTTTGGGGGGTTTTTGGGGTGGATTTTGGGTCAGTTTTGGGGTTGGATTTTGTGTTGGTTTTGGGGGGTTTTGGGGTTGGGTTTTGGGGTTTTTTTGGGGTTTCTCATTTCTGTGCCCCCCCAGGTTTTAGGGGTGGGTTTTGAAGGTTTTTTGGGTGGTTTTTGGGGTGGTTTTGGGGTGTTTTTGGGGTTGGTTTTTGGGGTTTTTTTGGGGGTTCTTATTGCTGTGCCCCCCCCCTGGTCTTTGGGGGGGGGGTTGGGGGGGGGTTGGGGGTGTTTTGGGGGTCGATTTTGGGTGGGTTTTGAGGGTTTTTGGGGTGTTTTGGGGGTTGGTTTTTTTAGGGTTTCTTGTTTCTGTGGACCCCCAGGTTTTTTGGGTGGGTTTTGAGGATTTTTGGGGTGGGTTTTTGGGTTTTTTTGGGGGGGTTCTCATTTCTGTGGCCCCCCAGGTTTTTGGGGTGGGTTTTGGGGTGTTTTTGGGGTGGGTTTGGGGTGTTTTGGAGGTTGGTGTTTTGGGTGGGTTTTGAGGGTTTTTTGGGGTGTTTTTGGGGTTGGTTTTTGGTGGTTTTTTGGGGGGTTTCTCTCTGTGCCCCCCCAGGTTTTTGGGGTTGGTTTTTAGGATGGGTTTGGGGTGTTTTGGGGGTGGTTTTTGGGGTTTTTTGGGGTTTCTCATTTCCGTGCCCCCCCAGGTCTTTGGGGTGGGGTTTTATGTTTTTTTGGGGTGGGTTTGGGGTGGTTTTTTGGGGTTTCTGACCCTTGTTGCCCCCCAGGTGTGGGATGTGACCAC